TTATAAGCATCGTCTAGATTCAAAAAACCTATTAGACATATTAACTCATCAGAATTTATTTAACCTATGAAGAGTAGGTATGATGATTTTTTTTTTTTAATATTAGGAAAATAAAAGACACATAAACACCATTATTGAATTGTAGATAGAACTTATTTGAGATCAATTTTTTGGGCTTGAGCATCTATTAATTACACATCCATGCTGCATATCATGGAAGATAAAATTAGAATATTTTTTTTAGTGCATGCTGAAAATAAAATCTAAATAAAAGAATTTGTCTTTTATTTTGGTCTCTTTGAAAAATTTTAAAGTAGAGTTTTTTGAGGTTTGTTTAGAAGGTAAATAAACCTCTATTTGATAGGGTTCTTTAAAACCATAATATTCATAAAATATCCTCTTCAACTAAAGTCAAAATAATGATGAAAGAAATATTATTAAAGCAAATACATACAGACGGAGAAATATATGAAGAAGAGTTTGAAAATTAAGGATTACCTTTTATTGTGGGTTTTATGAATTTAGTATATCAATGATTCTTAATTTGTATTTGGGTTATTTTGAAAATGTGCATTTTTGAATTCAAGTAGTATCAGTAAGAAATTTCATTTCGAATTATTTGAGTTTTTTGTTGGGATTATTTTTCTTTTTTTGAATTGAAAATTACATTGATAACTATTTTTCTGCTAGGATTATCAAAACAACAATTTAATTTTTTGCAAGGATTTTTTTCTTGATTTTCTTAGATTCAAAACAATGGTGGCTAATCTGCTAGATTATCAAAATAAGTAAAAATAATAATAATAATAAATAAATAAAAAATGAAAGTTCATAAATGACAATGATTGAAAATATGAAAGGATTATAAAGGAATTATGATATGGTAGATATATAAAAATGGTGCGATAAATATATAAAATGATATGGATGTACAGATTTATAATATGGTGCAGATAGATATATGAAAGGATTCAGGGAATAGCATTGGAATATATATATATATAGTCTTGATGAATAATGTTAAAATGAATGAATTTGAATAAGGACGATATTGAATGTCATGTGGATAAAAATAGTAATTTTTCAAAATTTAAAATTTTAGTAGGAACAGATATAGAGTGAGATGGATATATAAATAGGGGCTCCCTAATTTTTTTTCTAATTTTTAATTACCTATTCTCCAAAAAATTCACTTTTAACAAAATATACATCGAACAGTCTTGAATTTCAATGTATATCAATTATTTATTCTAAATATCGTCCTTGCAACATGAAGAAAGATAGATATAAATATTTGTTCCCTGACATGTTGGGACACATCCCGCGATTTGCCCCCCTCACAAAGCTCTAGGGGCAGGGCGATGGGGCCCCTCAAGGTTGGGGTTCGACTTTTTTTTATATAAAAATAAAAAATAAAAAGAATCCAATTCCCATAACAGGCACTCCGTTATTTCTAAAAATAAGAGCCTAAACTATTCATCGAGTTATGTTGATCAGATACACTAAAAATAGCGAGACCAGACCATATTAGGGTTCCAAACTTTCTGTACCGCGAATTCTCTACGCATTACACGAGAAACCAAGCATATGATCTGTTTCTTGTTGATAGTATGCATGCAACAGTACATAGCCCTTAACCCTAATTAATCCCCCGTCACTCATACGCTTATGTTGTCTTATATTGGAGCAAGCAAATCACGATTTACTTTGCAGCCCAAATAATCATTTCTGCAAAAAGATGCTGAAGACACTGATGGTGACTCTATGTCCCCAGGCGGGTCCCCTGCAGGCAAGTTTACTTACAGAATTTTGCCGTATAGAGATTGCACATCTGCTATGAATCTGACCATTTAAATTTTTGCCTATAAATAGGATATTCTTGCAGTTTAAGAGCCAGAACGCAGAAAGATTTATTAATATTCTAAAACCGTTAATTTGTAGTTAAGATGGCTGCTTTGCCCACAAAGCATATTGTTTTGCTAGTTCTTTTAGTGTTTTGCATCGTCTCGACCTGTTCTCAAGGTAGGATTTATGTTTCTTTCTTTGTTCACTTTCCCCCCGTTTTTTTTTCTAGGTTTAGAGAACTAATTTTTGAAATGGGATTTCATTTCTGTTTGTCTTAATTTCTGCAGCAAGGCGTTTAAAAATGGAGAGTCCTCGACCAGTTAATACCGAGAATGATAAAGGAATTCTTGGAACAAAACAAGAACTCCCTGATGTTGAAGATTTAGCAGCAATGGATTACACTCCTGCGAGAAAGAAAACTCCAATTCATAACTAGAATGGTGAACTTTGTTAAACAAATTAGTCTCCTTTTGCTACACACATGTATGCTGCCTATATATATGTATAGAAGTGCATAATATATTGGATATATAATAAGAGATGTATATCCACAGAGACTGCTTAGATTAGGAATAGGGAATCCCCCAGTTAGGGTTTTTGAGATATGTTGTCTCTTGTGCACAACCTGACTGTGAATATATTACAGAAAACATATATATTTCTAATAAAAATGTTGGGCGTTATGCAATATTTTAGCCTCATTTTGTTCATATATACATATAATTTAGAAATAGCTACTATATTTTGTGGATTTGCCAATTTTGGCGTTGCTTCTTAAGGCTTAATGTTTTTCTTTTCTTGTTTTGATCACTACAGTTCTTGGGAAATTTTTACATTTTAAATTTATCTGCAAAATTATTTGGATTGTAACTCCACTCCTTCCTAACAAAAGATATCACATGAAGCGCCAAAATGTAAAATCAGATTTGGCTACGAAGGAAGAAACTCGAAGTGAAAGGGGCCCGAAAGTGGAGCTGCTATGGACAACATGATAAATTTAGATATAGAAAATGTGCAGTAAAGGAAGTTTTTATCTTTGTTGTTTAGTTTCTAGGTAGCCTGTCATTATTGAACTTTGAAAAAGCTTGAAGCAAGAGATGGTAACGAGCAAAATCAATATGTTCCAATTTTTGTCCGTACAGTGACCATCCAGTGGACCATGGACTAAACGGTCGGTCACCCCTTCCTCTACACAGCTCTTCACCGTTGAAAGGGTCATAGCCGCTCTATTTTTTATTTTTTTTCCCAACAAAATGTATTAAAGAGAACTAGTAATGGCTCACTAGAGAAGGAAAAATGCAAGATATTTTAACAAATTTTAATCATACAAGCTCAGCAGCATTTTCTATTGAAGGAATGACTGCCAATTTTCAAGGCCATGTTCAATGGGAAGGCAATGTAGTAAACTTTTTATTGTTAAATTTTGAACGATTAAGAGAGATATCTTCCTATCTTTCACAATTTATACTTCACAAATTTTAGAAGAATGCCTTTTTGTAACTGTTTTGATTCAGTTGCGTGAAGGGATAACTTCTTTTTAGTTTAACAGTCGATTACTGATCTATCAAAGAAGGAAAAAAATGCATAAGACACGAAGAAAGGTAAATAATAATTCCGTTTGAAATTTTTCAGAATTTATTATTTTCCTTTACCATTGAAAATTGAAATAGTTCAAATGGTTTAGAATATTGATAAGGTAAATACTTAGAGCCTCACATATATATATATATATATATATACACATCTCAGTTGTGTGTTATTTCATGATGTTTCTCAAGGTTGAGAGAAAAAAGTGGATTGAACAGTTTTTCTCCACCAAATTGTTTTTAGCAAGCAACAAATGTGTAGAATTATTTGGCTTTTATGATACTTTCACGGCGAAAATTATTAAATAATAAAAATAGCAAGATGCAGAGAGAGAGAGAGAGAGAGGGCTACAAGCCAATGGAGATTACTCGGCCAAGATATTTTGGGAGCGTTGGTGCTTTTAAAAAAGTGCTGACTTGGGGCTCATTTGACAATACTTTTGAAAAGTCAAAATTTGCTTCTGAAATTAAAAAGTTATTTTTGAGTATATTTAAATAATTCTCTGGATTGTTTTTTCTAGCTAGAGAGCTTTTACAGAAAGTTATCCTAATACAATTTCTTCGTGAAGAAGTTCTACAAGAAAAAGAAATTTTGTCAAATGGCCATTTATATTCCATAAGTGCTCAAATTATAAAATGTGCAATTAATGATTAAGGAATATTAGATTCTACATGATATGATATGATGTCGTTGAGTTCGTTCTACCATTTGCATTTGCAAATCAAGAAAGCATTTGCTAGTAAACACAAGAAACTGACCACAAGAGTTGTATTTGCTCGTGACTACTTTCTTTTCTTTGTTTATAGAATTATTGAGTTGGACACTATAAAACTTACATTCAAGTTACTTATTTTATTAAACATGAGCTGAAAGTTACTTTTTATTATAACATAATTCTCCGATGCATATCAGCTTAGCTGCACTTATGCGGTTGGTTTTGCTTCATCTCTGGTGTCCAGCTCCCTACCTTGACCTCACTACATTCTCACTTCAAGCTATGCCTTTAGCCTGCTTCAATCCAAGTACAAAGGCTAGCAAGCTAGTTGCCACAAATGAACTTCTGGGTCAAAAAGGAACCAGATGAACGCCCCATCGGTTCCGGCCAAATGACTCAATCTCTCTCTTGGACGGTTCCCGAATCCTCAGGTCTAAACTTAACTTTCAAATTTTAAGCACAATCAGACATCTATATATCCTCCTTTGTCCATATAAAAAAAAAAAAAAAGGTTGAACCCCAACCTTAAGGGCCCTCACCGACCCTACCCTGGGTCATCGTGGAGGAGGTAAATCGCAGGATGTGCCTCCTAGGAGCCAGGGTGGAGAGCTCATGGATAGGCCAAGGCTCTTAACCCATATGGTAACTCCCGCTTGCAACAAAGCCAATTCCACCTTGCGGGGAATCGAACTCTGCACACTGCCGCGCTGAGCCCTATGCGCCCTCCCCTTTGCCACTGGGAGATATGCCCTGGGGGCTCCTTTGTCCATATATTTTCTATGAAAGGCGGAAGTAAATCAACAATGAAGAGGTTACTCCTACGTACATAACAAAAGATTTTACAAACAACTTTCCTGAAAATATTGAGATTTCTAGTAGAACAAAACAAACAGAATTTACTATCCAGTAATAGTGCAACTAAGAAGCAAGCATCAGTTTATACATCCCAAAAATAAGGGAAAAACAAATTGATGCACATGGTGAATCTTCAAGGCAGTTAGGCAGAGCATATATTTTCCATTTACATATCGATACAATTCAATTAATTGTTCCCATCTGTCCGTTGGGATCTCTTTGAGTTCTGGAAATGCGTGCAAATGCAAATATTCAGACATCAGTTCTATATCCATAAATATATGCGTCAATCGTTTGCAAGATTTCTCTTCTGGCCTTTTTGGTCATGAAAAGTTTAGCTCTAAACTTTGGGCTCCATAGCTCTACACGTGAAAAAATCACGGTGACCCCATAACAAACCAATTGCACCTCTCAGTTTCTCCAGAATAGTTGATACAAAAAGATCTAGACTGAAAGGTCTCAGTGCTCAACTATTTTCTCATAAAACAGCATACTTGCATTTGCATTCAGAACATCTTTCTCTGATACACTTCGTACTTCAGAATCCGAGATGCAAAACCATTGATCAATAGCAGATTCCAATAGTGCAATTGGATCTTCAGCACCTAATTTTGCTGTTACTCTTCTGTAAACCATGTAATGTCCACTTCCAACATTTCCAAAGTGCTCCACAACAGAGACTAGACGATATATTCGAGGTTTTGAAGGTGTTGTACTAACCTCCTGCACAAAGAACAAGAACCAAATTATATGAGAATAAACTCATTTGAAAACTACATTAACAATCTTCATACATCTATTTGCAAAATAATAAATATGCACATTTAATTTTATAAGCACTCGGCTATAGCAACAACCAACATACAGTGGTCTCTATTCAGATATATTATTTGCAATGTGATATACACATCTCAGGCCTTTGATAAAAACGAAATCCAACCTCCATGCGAGAAGCCATACTGAAGACTAAATTTCGATGAATGTGTCTTTTCTAAAACTCTTATAAGTTTTTAAATAAGATGGTTCAATACATAATAAAGTGGGGCAAGATGAAATAGGAAAAATATAGGGTAAGAAATGAAATCTAAAAAACTTTTGAAATTAAAATCAAAAGATAAACTCGAAGACATAAAGAAAGTGATAAAAGAATTATAATCAAGAAAAAAGTAAGTGCATTTTCGATTGGTGATTATTTTATAATTATTTATGGTCAAACATACTTTTAATCCAAACATTTTGTAGGATACACAATTACTTCCCACTTATTATCCACAAATTGTTTAGGACCCACATGTTTCAATCACTTATATTATATCACTTCAAGTTATAACTTAGTCACCAACCATACATGCACTAAGACATCCAATTGAGTGAAAATTTTATAATAAAGAGAACTCATTACACGTATGTGACTGTTCAGATACTACTTTCACAGTCTCAAAATGTTCAGAAGCTCCAGGTAGTCAGCCATGCTTATGTGAAGATTTTATTTTCCATTGATAACAAATGAACCAGTTCCAATAATTGTTTTCAAACCTAAAATGGCAAAGGGTTACAAAACGGGTCGTCTCAATGTCATTTTCCCTTTTTCACTTTTTTGTACCTTGTTGCATTCAACATGATAATCAAAGAGCTCAAAACAGTTCTAAAAGAGGAAGCAATAAACCCTGTGACTGAAACAATTTGATAAACTAACTCAATAAGCACCAGAAAAGCCTCTTGTCACATGTCACAAGATAATAATTATGTAATAAATTTTGAACGAAAGAGCAAGAAAACATTTGAAACTCTAGCTCTTAACATTTTGTTGCAATTATTTCACCCTTAATAAGAGAAACTTTGTAGCATATCATATTGATTATCTGTCCAAATAATATGCTCGACCATCAACTAACCTTGTCATTAGAAAGCGCAGGCATACTACCGATTATGGTATCAGCAAATCCACTATTCTCAAGCAAACTTGGTCCTCCTATAGAGGCTTTTAAGCAATTATTATCGGGTAGTGCAACTGTATTTCTTTCTGATTCCTTCGCAATCTTCGTTCTTGACGAAATGTTTTCCCCTGTACATACATTGCAACTTAGAAACCTGTATCAAGTTATATTTTCTGGTGAGTGGAGGAAAGGAATGCTAACACTGGTTTTTTGATAGCTTAAATTTCAAACTTTCTTCCCAGTTCTTTATTCCCACTTCACTTTTCATGAATAGAGACAGGTCCAGGGACAATGGAAAAGAGAGATGGCCCTGGAAAGATGACATCGTATTAGCCGATATTATAATTTGACTGAACGAAAAATCAGAAACAATTACATTGTCTACGCAGCAAAAATTTTACGAAAAATTCTAATGAGCAAATTTAGAATAATTCCACACAAGCATGATAAATGCACAAAAGGAATGATAGAATGCAGGAAAATAGTAATGAGAATAGTTGCATGATATTGTCAAGAGCTGAATGGCAACAAGAAGTATAAAAAGTGTGGGCAATGAAATATCTATATGCCACATATACCTTGCTACAGGAAGGAATCAATCATAATTAACAATCTAAAGCAAAATACCCGAAGTTTGACTGATTGCCCAGATACATTAGCTGAAGCACGTTGCAGATGAATGCATAAAATCTGCAAGCAAAAAATTATAGAATGAAAACTGGTAAAAGGCCGACTAACAAGTTAAGGAGTGGATAATAAAATAGAACATATTCCAATTTGCTGTTTTTCATTTAAGATGAACATGCAATCTCTTCACTTTAAATTATTTCACACTATTACATCAAAGTTTTTCATCAATTCCTTCAATTTCTTTCCATTTTTCCTATTTATGTGAGTACTTATTATTATTGTTTGTTTGTTTTTGTTTGGCAGGGATACTGATGGTAATGCTTCAATCACATATTTACTCCAATAGCTATTTAAAGCGAAAACAATAAAATTGTATGTACTCTCTATAAAGCACTGATACTTCAAAGACCCTTTTGTGTTGTTGCAATATGCTATTTTTCCAGGGCTGGCCCTGAAGGTTTTGAAGCCCTAGACGATAAATTATCATGAAGCCCCTACAAATTTATTTTTTTCTTTTTTTTCATAAACGTATTAGCATCAAATATGGCCAAATCAAGCAGTTTCTCATGATGAGGAACATTATACTATGTTACTCTTTCACCATTTGATTCTTTCGAGAATCAATTTTCGTGTTCAAAAAATAGAATATTAAAGATTTTTAGAAATTGGTGAAGTATGGGAGTAGTGACTACCATTTATTGTCTAAAATAACTTACATTCAAAAATTAAAATCAAAAATCAAAAGTAGCAATTCAAATCGAAAAAAAGACATTATTGGGTAGGTAGATAACCTTATGCTTTATTTGCACTATTACATTAAGAAGCATGGTGATAGAACCCAACTGTTAAAGCCGACAGGTTTAATGCAGAGATGAAAACTGAAATGGAAATGATTAATTTTATTGAAATGAACGTAAGAAAGGACTCCAAACAACCCAGAGCATTCGAGAGGCTCAGGACTCTCCCACTAGACTCAACATACACATGAATGAATGAATATCCCAACTCCCCCTTACATTTATAGACAATTTGCTAGCTATCTATTACCCTTTTACCCCTCTTGCTAACAACCTTTGGAATACTCTAGAATTTTTATGGATTGGGCTGCAATTTGATTGGATGTCTATCATTACTAGCCGCCTCGAAATCCACCTTGTCCTCAAGGTGGAAGTGTAGCTCAACTTCAAAATTCGAAACTCCATAGAGGTGAACCATTTTTGGAGTAAGCTTGTAGTTATTAGCTTGTGTATATTAATTTTGCTCCAATAAGGACTGTAAAGTAAGTGGGCTTGTTTCTTGGAGTCCATGCTGTCCTCCACCCTATGGGCCCATTTAATGATATGGCCCAAACCACAAGGCCCTAGCATCCTTCCCTCGTCCTAGATTACAAGGCCAGTTCCATTAACTTCCACCCGTTGGGCCAATTTCAACCGATTAATAGCATTTCCTTTCATCACCGTCGGAGCTGCCTGAACCTCGAAATTTTTCCTGTTCTCCTCAATCGCTCCGTCCTGCTTCCGCACCAAAACGTTCTTCGAAATTGAGCCTTCTCGAGATATCCACCCATCAGGTTCCCTTCCTTTGAAAACCAATATCTCCAACCTTCGATCTCGATTTTCAGCTTTCCTCAGTTCGTCACGATGATCCCTGCCTTTTGGCTTAAGTCAAATTTCATCCAATTTTGTCGGAATTTCAAAGGTAAGGGTGGGTTTGAGTGCAGCCGCTACCAATTGTTTTTCCTTCCTGGGATGCTCGTTTGTATTAGTTCCGGTTTCCTCCCGTTTCCAGTTCCCCGCAATGTAAGATTTTCTATGTTTGTATTGATGAAACCCTTTCAACCGATTGAGAGAAAGGCTGTGTGCATCTCCAGTGTGATGCTCGATTGTATTCTTCTCCCTCCACCTGTGGTATAGTCGTTTGCCCAATTGCAGCAAAATAGGGCTTAAAACTGGAGACGTCTGATGGTTTTTAGGGTTGCAAGTAGTGATTGGGCCATTTATTCTTACCCCATATGGGCCCATTACGTCTTGGGCTTGATTAAATGAAATGTTGCAATTTCCTTGTTGGGCCAACTTCTGGTCATGGTCTAATTCCACTAAATCTCTGGATTCTCCTTCGTTCTTCTTCTCCTGCTTCCTCAATTTCATAGAGGCTCCCTTCAGATCCTACTCTGACCTCTTCTCCACCTCCGACGATGGTGATGATAATATGTGCAATTTATCACACCGTTCATCATGTGCTAGCTCCCAGTTCGATTTAACCCCTTGTTTCCAGTCTGAAAATTCATCAACAATGAAAATCTATCTCACGTCCGGCTCCTCAGTTTTCCTCCTGTCCGGCTCCTCTTGGAGGTGCGTGATGCGGCTATTTTTCTCCTGCACGTCCCACTTCTTAATCATCATATCCATCTTCTCCAGCATCCCGGACATTACCTTCTTAATTTCAGATTTCATTGCCCTAAACTCTGATTTTAGTTCATCGATCCTTGCTTCCCGAACTTCTACGTGCCTTCCTTCACCAACTGTAACACCCCAGGGCCAGCATGATTGCTCTGATACCATATTGATAGAACCCCAACTCTTAAAGCTGTTTGGTTTAATGCAGAGATGAAAACTGAAATGGAAATGATTAATTTTATTGAAATGAACGAAAGAAAGGACTCCAAACAACCCAGAGCATTCGAGAGGCTTGGGACTCTCCCACTAGACTCAACATACACGTGAATGAATGAATATCCCAACTCCCCCTTACATTTATAGACAATTTGCTAGCTATCTATTACCCTTTTACCCCTATTGCTAACAACCTATGGAATACTCTAGAATTTTTGATGGATTAGGCTGCAATTTGATTGGATGTCTATCACATGGACACGGACACATAAGATTACATTTTTAAAAAAACTAGGATACGCTGATAAGTGCAATAAAATTCAACATAATTTTATTAATATAAAAAAAATTAACACAAAAGCATAATAATAAAAATAAAATAAAGTACTAAAGCACTTTATCTTAATCATTAATTGTTGAAACTTCATTTTTTTCAACATCAACATTAATTTCTTCATTATCATTAAAAATAACACTCTAACTTTGGCTCATCTGATGGTTTTTATAATGGGACAAAATCCTAGGAATAGATATAGTGGGCTAGAAAAATAGTAGATTGGATGATTTCGATTTTTATAGCTTTTTGATATAAAACAATTTAGAGGACAAAGTAGGACGGAGAAAAAAATGTTGTTAGATTGTTTTAGTTTTTGACCCCCATACAACTTGAAGACCCACTTCCTATTTATAACTTCAAAAGTCGGTGCATCACCTCTAGAAAATTCTGATTTTTTCACTATTTTATTATGTGTTTTACTTGTTCCTTAAACAAATCTACAGCCTTCTAGGTTGTATGGTTTCTAGAATATGAAAGTTTCTAGAAATATGCAGCAGTATTAATACTCCTCCTCGGTGCGCATTTCAATAACTCCAATCATATCTCGTAGAAACTCGAACTTTGCTCGTGGTAGCGCCTCAATGAATATGTCAGCTAATTGTTCTTCACTTCTGCATTGTTTGAGCTCTATCTCTTTATTTGCTTCAGCTTCACTAATGAAGTGATACCTGATTCCAGTGTTTTAGTTCTGCTATGAAATACAAGATTCTTGGCCATCGCTATTGCAACTTGCTGTCACAGTAAATCTCTATAGCTTTATCTTGTGGCTCTCCTATGTCTTCGAGTATGAGCTTTAGCCATATAGCTTGGCTTGTTGCCATTACTGCTGCAATATACTCTGCTTCAGCTGATGACTGTGCAATCGTTGCCTGGTTCTTTGATGCCCAAGAGAATATTCTAGAACCTAGTGTGAATGCATAGCTTGATGCATTTTTCATATCATCCATTGATCTTGTCCAATCACTATGAGTATACCCAAATAGTCTTGAATCAGGCGTAGATTGATACCATATTCTATAGTCTTTTGTTCCTTGGAGATATCTTAGTATGCGTTTTGCTGCTCCATTGTGAACTTGACTTGGATTCCGCATGAATCTTGAAAGTAGGCTGGTTGCATACATTATGTTTGGCCTTGTAGCTATGAGATAGAGTAAACTTCCAATTAGGCTTCGAAATTGTAAGCTATCTACTTTTGGAGTACAGTCTTCTTGTTTGAGAGATTTGTTGCTATCCAATGGTATTGCTATAGTTTTACAACTTTCCATCTCGAACTTCTTTATAAGATTAGTGGTAAACTTCTTCTGAGTAATAAATATCCCATCTTCAGATTAAGTTATCTTGATCCCTGAAAATAGTGCATTAACCCCAAATCAATCATCTCGAATGTTTTCATCATATCTTCCTTAAATTTTTTTATCATACTTTCATCATTCCCTGTATAGATGAAATCATTGACATATAGAGATATAATGAGTATACAGTTTGTACCTTGATTTTTGATGTATAAAGTCGATTCGCTTTGGCTTCTCCGAAATCCATGCTCAGTGAAGTTGTCTATTTTGCTATACCACGCTTGTGGAGCTTGTTTCAATCCATATGGTGCCTTCTTTAGTTTGAGAACTTCATCTTCTTTACCTTGTACCATGTACCTTTGAGGTTGTTCGACATAAATTTCCTCTCAAGATAACCATTGAGAAATGTTGATTTCAAGTCTAGCTGGTAAATCTTCCACTTCTTCTGTGAGGCTAATGCAATTAGCGCCCTTATAGCGTCAAGTTGAGCAACTGGAGCAAATGTCTCATTGTAGTCGATGCCAAACTGCTGTGAGTATCCTTTAGCAACCAGTCCTACTTCTTACTTTTGGATTAAGCCATCGGCGTTAAGTTTTGTCTTGTAGACCAACTAAATTATTATGTCTTCTTTGTCTCAAGGAAGATCTATAAGCTTCTAAGCGTCTTTTTCTCGATCATTTTTATTTTTTCGGCAATAGCTTTTATCTATTCTGGTTGCTTTGAAGCTATTTCATAGCTTTCAAGTTCTACGATCATCAAGTTGCAGATTTGATATATTTATGATAATATTTTTGTTTTTCTTGGTGACGATTTTAGTGA